ATAATATACTCTCTCCTTCTTAAAATAATAGACATTTTTTCATTTTATCTTCAAATTGAAGACTTGGGGATAGTTTTTATTTTTAATTATATTATTCTTTCAAAAAAGTTATAAACGTAAAGAGATTTTTTTTTGTGATAAGTTGGATAATTAAAATAAAAAAACGATAAAGTTAAAGTAAGAAAAAAATATATCATCCCTAAAATATGAAATGATTATTGTTTTAAAATGAATTCTAAATAAAAAATAATAATTGTTCTAGAATAAAAAGAGTAAAAGATAACGGGTAAAACCATCAAATTCACCCTTAAAAAATATCGATAGGAACAAATTTACCCCTCACAAAAATTGGAGGGGCAATTCATAAATCAAGACAAATTACTTTTTTTCTAACGTTTTCCTTTAAAAAATGTTGACGTGGCAAACAAAATTCTGATATTTTTCGTTAAAAAATGGGTAATTTATCTTGATTTGATTTGAAAGGGCAATTTGTCCCTTCATTTTTGTGAGAGGTGGATCTGTTCTTACCGATATTTTTTAAGAATGGATTTGAGAGTTCTGCCAAAGATAGCGTCCCATTGTTGAAAGATTAACATGGATTGGTGTTACTAAGGATAGCTATTAGACTTGACAAAATTGGACCCAATTTGAAAATCCGATTCAACTCATCCGTTATAAGTCAGGTTATGAGTCTTATGTGTTAATCCAAAATCCAAAATGACTCAAACTGAAATTATCCAAACCCAAATAGGTTGGGTCACAGGTAAATCGAGTAATCTGAAATGACTCAAACTTTTTTTAAATTCATTTTTTTATTAGATTACTTAAAAATTAATTTTAAATTTCTAATTTTCTAATTCTAAAATTAAAAATAAATAAAATACCCAAATCTTAACCTCATTAGTAGGGGTGGGCAAAAACCGGTTTCGGTTAAAATCGAAACCGATTTTGAAAAAACCGAAATTTTTTTTTCCTAATTTTGAGAACCGAAACCGAACCGAAATGATCAAAAAACCAATCGGTTCGGTTATCAATAAAT